AAGGAAGGAAGGAAGGAAGGAAGGAAGGAAGGAAGGAAGGAAGGAAGGAAGGAAGGAAGGAAGGAGAGAGTGGAATGAGAATAAGAGAAAAGAGGATGTCAAAGAGAAAGGAGGAGTTGGGGAAATATCAGAGAGAAAGAACTGCCACAAAGAAAGACAGAAGAGAAAGAGAAAAAAGAGGGTGGAAAAAGAATAAGAGAACAGAGAGAGCCAGAGAGAGAGAAGGAACGGGTAGAAGAAATGAGTAAGGAGTGATCCTACATGTTTTTGGCTCTATCAACTATTTGCAAGTGGCCTCTGGCGAGAAAAAGCAGTTGCCTGGGTGCTGTAGCTGCAACAGCTTGCACAGAGCGGTTCCTAAGATGGTGACCCTCTTCACAGAGCCCGGGTTCAACATGAGGTGCTCTCACTCATTAAGAGGAAGTATTAATGCATTTTTGGGCAGCTCCCTTGCCTGGGTTGGAAGCCTGAAGTGGACCCCACCCCTGGACTTCCAGCAACAGCAACCCTCAGGGTTTTGCACCAAGTCTTTCCAAAACAGTCAGGAAATTACTGTTGGTCCTCTGCATGGCACATAATCAATCCTCTGCATGAGTTGCTGTTCTGACTTTGTCAGTCAGGCATACCAATAAGGTGAATCACACTCGTAATGCCACCCTCCGTCCAGCACCAGGCTTGGCCCCTTCATCCATTATAGGATCAATCTTTGTCCCAGGGCCAGGGCCACATTTCGGGGGCACCTGGGAAGCCCTTCTATAAGGAATTCTGCCTTGTGATTGTGAAAACCAGCTTTGCAAGAACAGGGGGGCTCAACTGAAGGGAAATTTTCTGGAGGCCCCAGGCAGAAAGGTTACCTGCCAGATCAAAGGCAAAAGAGATGTGGCGATGGAAAACCAAAGCCCTGGGCACAAATGCCACTGTAATTGCTCACTTCCTCCTCCTCCCCCTGTAGAAACCATAAAGCCAGGGAATCTCTATGCTCTGAAGATCTTTGGACTCTTAGATGGAAGTCTTGGGGCCTTTGGTTCTTCTCGTGCTTACTCCAAGCAAATTGGTAAGTGAAACTCCAGGACCTTCTGGGGCTGATATTCCTGGGGTGGGGGGCTGATTATTATTTGATCAGAAAGTGCCCCACCCCTACACAAAAAGGAGGCATCAGTAGGCTTGGGGTGACCTCAAATTATGGAGATGTACATGTTTAAAGAAAGAGCCTTTGGAGCAATAGAAGAGAATATCTGTAGCTCAAGGTTGGACTGTGGAGTCCTTGAGGTTCTCTGAGCTTGGCTGAAGATGTGACCTATCTGGGTAATGAAACATCTGTAAGAAAACAACCAAGCTCAGAGAACCTCAAGGACTTCACAGACCCTTTGGTGTCTCTTACTATAATAGGAACTGATGGTTCAATGTATAGGCTGTGGGTCAGCAAGCAAGGAACCTGGGGATTAGGGGTGAGGTGGGAGGGGATGGAATAGAATGGGGGCTCCACTAAAGGGTATAAGTGGTTGGGATCCTGTACTGGACTTATGTGCTCTGCCACTCTTTGTGGCGGGGACTACCTGTTGATGCAAAGATCTCTCCCTTCCATCTTTCAGCTCCACTTCGTGCCCCAACTGTATATCCCACTCAGGTCTGGAAATCTTGGGTGGAACTGCAGTGGGAGAAGCTTCCTTTGGAAGAACAAGGTGGAGAGATCCGGAACTACACTATTTACTACAAGGAAGAGGGGAAGGATGACTATCGTAAGGAGAAAACCTAAGCTTCTCAGCAGAGCAAAGAGTTAGGTTTGCAACTTGCAAGGAGGCCTTGGAAAAGCACTGCAGGTTGGAGTAGAGCAGTGTTCCTCAACCTTGGTTGCTTGAAGATGTGTGGACTTCAACTCCCAGAATTCCCCAGCCAGCCCAGGGAATTCTGGGGGTTGAAGTCCACACATCTTCAAGCAACCAAGGTTG